TCCTTTAAAAATAAACTTATCTCAACTCAACTCAACTTTATTTATAAAGCGCTTTCAGTCAGCCAAAGCTAAAATCAAAGCGCTGTACAGGTCATTTGAGCAGATTATAAAACACAATTATCACCACAACACAGGACAAACTCAAAGATTAAAAAAAACCAGTAAGAGCAAAAAAAAAAAAAAGTCGAAGTCTCACTCAAAGGCCTGAGAGAAAAAGTGGGTCTTTAAAAGGGTTTTAAAAGAGCTGAGTGTAGGGGCCTGTCTGATAGAAAGGGGGAGGGCATTCCACAGTTTGGGAGCTGCCACAGAGAATGCTCGGTCCCCTCTGAGCTTCCGCTTTGCTCTAGGTGCTTTTAGAAGGAGCTGATCAGCTGATCTAAGGGACCTAGCGGGGCAGTAATTCTGTAGTAGCTCAGAGAGGTATGGTGGAGCTAGGCCATTTATTGACTTATAAGAAAATAAAAGAATTTTGAAATGAATTCTAAAATGGACAGGGAGCCAATGAAGTGAGGCCAGGATTGGTGTTATCTATAGGTGGCAGGATTAATCCAGGCGTTCACTTTTGCTATTTTCCATATCACGCCCTAATAGATTTATGATCCAAACTTGTTGGATCTTCCTCTCATAAATTTTCACCATACATTTCTTTTAGCCATTTTTATCCAGGGTGTCTCAAGTAAGGTTTGCCTGAGGCCACTTGGGTGATTTTATCCTATCCTGAGGGTCCATATCAGCATGCACTGCCAATGAAATGAGTGTTCACAAAGATAATTTCACCACAAATAACCCCCTGCTCACAGAATTTTGGTAGAGAATACAGCTGTTACAGCGAAAAGCATGTTAAAGTTTTTACAGGGAAGCTAAAGTAAGAAGGCCTGAACATGGAAGTAAAAATTTTGGCCGCATATGCGCAAGAGTGTTGTGCACGGCATTGCGCAGAATCATAGTCCATAAACAAGTAACCGACTGGACTTAAAGATAGAGTAAAGGATTTTTGCGAATTTTATGAAAGACCTGGCCTCCCCACTTAAAAAAATGCACATGCACAGCCCTGCACCCACTCCAAAGAGGGAATGCATATTACCCGTGTTTAAACTGCTTCTTTTTGTGCACGTCTGTTTAAAAGTTGCTGTTTGCATCGCTAGTAAAAGCTTATTTTCTAAAGGAAGATTTGTAATTTTTCCACTGTCAGACTCACCACTAGTGAAAATGGGGATGAGCCGATAACACGGCCTTACGCAAACATATCACCTGAATGACTGACAATTAGGAGGACCACTTATTTTGATGATCCACCAGGAAAAAGAACATCTTCCACTATAACTTTGAGAATTAGCAAGCTATGTGAGACAACATTAAACAATGTCGCGCACTTGCTAACATAATCTGAACTGTATCATATAACAACATGAGTATAGTGCTGCAACAGTTATGCATGTTGCTTGCCTTCATTCAGCCCAGTAGAGAAAAGGGAAATGACGCACTCCATTCGAAATAGTGCCAAGGTCCGTTATGTAACGTGACTTTCCCAGGCATTTTACTGTGAAATACTGTAATAATACAGCTGAATGCTGTGAAAACCTTGCCGTTTTTACTGTGTTGCTGTGATATTACATACATTGTTGTGATATTACTGGGACGATTGACTGCAGAATTTTACTGTAAATAAGAATTACATGCTGTAAAATCCAAGGATACTGTAGTTTTCTAGGTATTCATTGGGGTTTTACAGGGAAACATTAATACAAGTTGCTGTGATATAAAACTGTTGAAAGTTGTGAAAACTTGGTCATTTCTAATAGTAAATGCTCCAGTGAGAACAACAAATCACATCATGGTGGCCATGGAGCTTGTAATGTGCATTATGGGTGAATTTATTGTTAATTGGGGCCATATACAAAAAGGGAAAATTTTAGACCTTTGAGTGCTGAAGCTTCAGTTTTGTTATAATATCATAGTTATAAAAGAAAATAAAACCTAGACAAAAAAACAACTAGAGGACATTTTTAAAAAATTGAGCAGCTATGGAAAACAATAGATTCTGATTAAGTTGTTATCCTTTGTGGAGAACAAGGTCAGTATTTATCAATGGATTAGTTTTATTTCTCTTTAGAAGGCTTACAGAGGAATAACTCATTGGTACACGTGCTGTGTTTCTTTGGTGTTAGACTGGAGATGTGATGAATAAAAGACATTAAACTATTTCATATTATCTAGATTTCATTAAGTTTAACTGGGCATTTCTGGGCAGACTTGTGTCTAAGGTGACTTGGTATAATAAAAGTAAAGGTGTGAAAAAATCAATTATAGAAATTCGAAACAACATAACAACAAAAACGCCACCATCTTTAAGATGACAAGATGCAGTAGTTTGAATAAGACTGCCCTCTAGTGGTAAAACATAATATTATTATTACATTACAGACAAGATGGTGTTATATTTTCTTTTAATAATTGTTAAAAGTGATTTTGTATTGGTATAAATTTAGTCCCATTCTTAGTGTTGTGTTTTGTAGATGATGCGACTTAATGTAAATACAATAAATGTATCTGCAGTCCCTTAAATGTGTTATTTTGCGTTATTTCATGATACAGAGAGAGCATTTAAAAATAAGAGTGTGTTTCATCTGTTTACCTTTGCACAATTATATATCTTCAAAAGAAAATAAATTGGCATATAACAGGCATATTTACACTGAATTTGGTTAAATAGACACATATTTACCTTGTCTTAGTCACTGATAAGTTTAAATGCAAACCTTTTCAAATTGGAAAAAAATCCTAAGTCTACTGTATATTGATCAGAGCCAGTGATGCTTTAAACATTGATAAACTGCATCTAGTGAGTGTAGTGCTTATAAAATTAGTATAAATGTATCAGGAAATGCTGCTGTTCTCTTTAAACGAAATGCACTCTGATGCTCATGTCAAGCATAAAAAAGTATGCATATTTTTGCATAGGTAAAATGACATTAATGATACTTAGGACCAATAGTGTCCCTACCAAAGTGGAAATCAAACCTACGCCCTTGGTTAAATAACATGCTGCTGTCATTTTGCACATCTCTGATGTTGCTGCTATTTTCAAACATCCATTACTGTAAAAATGTCCATAGCTGTATATTGATTATTTATTCTCCAGACGCACAGTTTTATAAACACTTTAAAGTACAGTATTTTATTGTTTATATAAAATACATTTCACTTCCCCTCCAGGAAGCTTTCTCAATTAAAATGTCTGGATCCGCAGTGAGTTTGAGTCTTTATATAGACAAGCCTTGTATTGCTTGGAAACATGCAAATTGAAACTGACGAGTGGGTCATTTGGTTCCATTGTTAGCCTGTAATATCTGAAACCTGTCTATGATTCTGAAGGTCGGTCGTTAAAGGGGGGATTGTTCCCCTGGCTGTTCACCTCCTTTAGAAACTAAGTCCAGCTGATTGTTTTTAAACTTTTACGGAATATTATTTTATTCTCATACATTTTTCTAAGGTCCATATTTGTGTGAAATTTTTTTTCTTCAATAATCTTTTTGCTGCTATAAATTTTCTTCATTGTAATAGCAATAGCATAGTAATAGCAATTGAAAAAATAAAAATCCTATCAGATTTATAGTCCCCACACTGCAGATATATTATAGAATCTGTCCTTTACAGCCAAAACCATTTACACAGTGACAGATAAAACCTTTCAATAAATCAAACATTACCGCCAAATATCTTAATTAATAACCATTAAAACAACTATTTTCATTCATTTCAGACAGAACAGTTCATGGAACTATTCATACTTGGATTATATTAAACTGAACTTCCAATATCCCTGTTCCGTGCCAAGTACCTTTTCCCTCTGATCACGGAGCAGCCGGCTTGCTTGGTCTTGGATTGAATCCTGGGAAAACCAAGGATAGATAGGATACATCGGACCCGTCCTTCAAATAGGGCAAAAAGGAGGACGCATTTGAAGGCCGCATAATGAGGAGTCTTGGAATCTGACCAGACCTCGGCGCGGCGCAATGACGTAATCGGCCTTCGAAACTGGCCTTCGGAGGACAGAGCCTATGAATTCGAACAGATCCAATGACTGTTATCTCTGCGACAGACAGATATAGCTAGACAGAGAGACAGACAAAAAGACAGATAGATAGCATGCACGGGACACAAACCCAAAAAATTGTATTTCTATCCATTTTAAGATTGCAATTTTACTCACATTCATTTCAGTTTACCCTAACACTAACTATTACTACTATATCCCAAACCCTAACCTAATATTAATTCACACCATATCTCTAAACGGATTCTCTGAGATTTAAACTGGGGTCCACCCATTAGGACCAGCCTTTGGTCCCACAAGTACTGTTGGTCCTCGGAAGCTTAGTAAATTCACCAAAAACTGTCATAAAAATGTAACATAAACAAGTATACACACAAACACTCCTTATGGAGAATTTCCATAGACTTCTAGTGATATTACATTCATTCCTATGGCCTAACCCTGACCAGGAAGGAAGTTAGGGGAAAAGAGACTGACACAAGGGGGTAACATACACTAAACAAGATATAAATAAGAACTCAAATACAAAAAAAAAAAAAAAAAACTAGCAGTTCCACAAAATGGAAACAAAGCTTGTTACCTAGAAAACACAGAATGACATAAATCAAAGTGTAACTTAAAACTCAAAATAAAACTTAAACAGAGACAAAAAAAAGACAGAATCATGACAGAGTACCATCTTGCATCATTGTAAGTGACATATGTTGTAAGTCTTTTCCTCTCAGTCCAAAGGTTAATGGTTCAAGACCTGGTTTAAACTTTTAAAAGTTGCTATGCTACTTAACCAGTATTTTGGCCAATGCGACTAGTTTGTATTGGTTTGCCATTTTACCAATATAGATTGGGTAAAAACACTGCCAAGTTAGATTGGTTGGTTTAACCAAAAGATTGGTTGGACACATAACTTCCAACCACAAAAAAAAAAAAAAAAACTAGGGGAAAAACTGTTATCTTTAATAAAAATGACTAACACCTTTCATTTTGTTCATCATTGCCCAATTTGCACACTTTCACAAACACTTTCACTCGAGCTTATTTCACTAAAATTACAGAAAAACAAAGTGCCTTGAAATATTGTTCTCTTCTAAAACATTTACACACAACCTTACAAAATATATACTATACACACAAATCATTAACAATTTAATGATTAACAAACCTAATCATTAACAATTTAATGATTAACAAAAATTTAATGATTAACAAACTTCTGTAAGATTTACAAACCTTACAAAATATATATTATATACACAAATAATTAACAATTTCAATGGAACTTCAAAATCAAGAAAAAAAATTGCAACAAAATCACAGATTATATTACTAACTGTAGTTATGCACTCCACCAATAGGTGGTGACATGTTCACATGAAGCTTCATGAACTGTGGGGATCGTTGGAGCAATTTGCCCAAAAGGCTCAATTTCTGATGAGGCTTCATCTCACCATAACTAAGAAACAGGAAATGCATACATGGCTCAAGTAAACCTGGTGACTGTTTCACAAAAGTAGAATTAATAAATTCTGCATAAGAAATTAATCTAGGCTGGACTCAGTAGGGACTAAGCATTCTGGCATTATCCATTTCACAAAAGCCAACAGGCACTTAGCATTAAGAGACCATGAAGTCGATCCCAGATTAATTGATTCTGCTACAATGGCATTTTGACTAAATGGCTATATAGTATATATTTCCTAACCACTCCTCTTAACAAAAGACATAATTTAAGGAGTTGCCATTCAACAGGAGTTTTTCTTCTCCACTGTTGCTGCATGCATGCTTAGTGAGACGCTGTTGAGTCAACAACAAAATGCAACCAATCTCATCCAAGAGGAGTGTGCCCAGAAGTCAATAACTCAATACAATCAGCAGGTTTTTATTGGATACAAGATCTTATTTTATCTTATTTTAATCTATCTTAAATTATGTCAGTACTTGAGTCAAAGTCACATAGTGTTGCCTTAGAGCTCCAGTGTGTAACAATTTCAGGGATTTACTGACAGAATTTTTATATATTATAAATATGTATGTCATTTATCATCATCTACAAACTGAAAGGCTCTTTATTTTATCGTTTGGTTTACCTTAAAATTGCTATTTATTATTACATAGGAGCAAGTCTCACATCTTTGCGCTACGGCAGCTCAGAGTGAATACTGACTCTACAGATCATCCACACGTTCAACTGTGACAAATTAGGGCTGTATAAAATCTATATGCTACAAATATTGATGAAATACTTTTTATAAAATTATATCTTAAACAGACCTTGTAATCGCTCGACAAAATTGGTGATGCAGGCTAGGCATTTTGTACCATAAACCATGAAGGCCTCTGCATTGTTGGAGGGGAGAAGCAGTGGGGGAGCTGATCATCTCGCTGCAGTCTGACCAATATATTATTTACCACTATAGCTTTAATAACATTTTATATGGACATTTTTTTGAGGCAAAACTCAGGTTATACATCAGGTTTCTTGATTCAGACTCGCTGTTAGCTCAGTGCTGTTGTGAGAATCTGTAGGGTTAGAAAGATAATGCTAAGTTTACGACAACAAAATTAGTTTTTGGCAATTTCAGATAATCTGACAAGCTAACTACAATTATACAAAACAAGAAGAATGTGAAAACAAAAAATAACCAACAGCAACAGTTACGCTTTACTTTTAAAGGAGTCATTTTAGTTTTTTATTTGTAAAATACACATTTTAAATGTCTTTTCTTACCTTTCTTCCTGAAATAAATGTATATAATGACTGCTATGATGATGAGAACAACAAACACCAATGAAGCAGCGATAGGGGCAGCTGTACTAATGGACTCCTCTGTAAAGAACAAAATACTAGAGTTTATATTTCATAAATAGGAAAAGAGAGAAAAAACAGAGGAGTTCATTTATTGCTTGTTTTTAGCTAAGATTTTAATATCTAGATATTTTTGTTACATTTAGACCCAGAACTGTTCTAAATGTTTTCAATGTCCTATCTAAAGAAACAAATTTGCAGCATTACCATTATTATATGAAAAACCAAAACAATGTTTTAATTCTTTCGCTAAATATAAAGACAAATCCAAAAATCCTTAAAGATTAAAAACAAGACATCTTTATTTTTCGATAACTATCTTACTTTGATTGGTCTTGATTATTGTCTTATCCAGAGGGGTGATGATGTCGTTGCTGACACCATAGAGCTGAAAGACACAGTCATATTTCCCCCAATCTTCCAGAGGAATTAATGAGACATCCAGTACTGTCTCCATCTGGAATGTTTCATCATGGTTTGGGAGGATGTCTCTATGTTCTACACCTTCATGAATCTCCTCCTCACTCCTCCTCCAGAACATCACAGCGCTCTCTGGGTAGAAACCTGTAGCATGACAGCTCACTGGAGAGGAGGGGGTCTTCTGGAGGAGAGACACTGTAGGAAGGACTGTTGATGGAGAAATTGAAACAAGAAGGATTGGAGAATTACGATCAATTCAAGTAAACATAATGGTTTAAGTTTCTGCATGTCAACTTATGCTTTATCCATTGTTTTAAATAAACTTCATTAACTAGGATCTCACGTCAATTTTATTGATTTATTAGGGGTATTATTTATTTACACATTGTATACAATGTCAGCCAAATTTATATGACTGTTGTTTTCAATTAAAAAACTTAGGATTTACTTTGGTTATTATAAATAGTAAGAACACAATGACTTTACTGGACAGTTTTACCTTACGGGTATAGTACATTGATGCAAATCCTGGCATTACATGTGATAATTTCCTTGCCTATAGTCACAAAAGTGGTTGCACGAGAAATCTTTTCATAACTGAGTATACATTTTTTACAATTACGAAAGTGTTTATGTTTCAATTAATGTGCAAAATCTATTATTGTACTTTTTTAAAGATGGGAAAACTAACCACAGAATACATTTCAAATTGAATAGCAATGCCTTCTACTTCAGTGATAGTATAATAGATTTCTCTCCTGAGAAAGCTTCCTGGAGAGGTGGCGAAACGTCTTCAAATCTTGGAAACCAAGTCCAGTGGATTTTTTTGAACTTTTACTGAACTGGCATTCAAATGTATGTCCCGCTGGTTTGCTTTTCCTTTTTATTCCATCTCATTCCCTGTGGCAGCTTCCTCTCATTTGTTTGCCTTTATTGTTATTAAAACAGATGTGACTGCTCAGGGCAAAAGCTCCTCCCTGTTTGTCATGTGGCCATTTTAGTGCAATATCAGAAGCTTGAAGTTTGAGGCAAAATGGTCACTGCAAAAATGGTAACCTGCATATTCCTATCTGTTTTATTCTTTGAGAAATGAAAGAATGAAACCCAAGTAGTTTTTCCTTGATGGATCTTGAAGATTAACTCCTCAAGGTTCCATCCAAAGTAAACAAATAAAAGGACACTTTAGCCAAAGTGGAAGTGTTTCAGCAATCACCATAAGTGTCTAAGCATTGCAAAGTTCATATATGGAGCTTAGAAGGTATACAGACTCCCACATTCCTAGTATGCCAGGGCATGTAGGCACAGACCACCTCAGGGAGTTAAACAAACAAACAAAAAGTATTCACATGTACTCTGTGAAACACATGCAAAGGTACAAAACCTAAAAGGTTTTGGTTTTTATAACGGAAAGATTCTGTTGTCCACAACATTTGTGGTTCTTTCACTGAAGGCTGTAGTCCCAATTTGACTCCTCCATGCGAGTTTCTATCATGTACTGACATCTGTGGGCCACAGGCTGCCTGGAAGTGGTATTGCATTACGGTGTTAAAAAAAATAAATTATTAATAACAATTTTGTGCAATGTTTATTCTCAATATATGCAATTTTACTAAAAGCAAAAATCATTATTTGCTGTTAAATGTTATCATCAAAATGTAACTTTTCAATCTTTATAAAATATTTTCATAAGTTTTGTGATTATACGTCAGCTTAGAACTAGTCTAGTGACACATCTGTTGTTGCACAGGACGGTCTGTATCACTTTCTTGCTATGGTCTGTACCACACTTGTGCTCATGTGAAAATGTTGACTTCCTTCAGGCAAAATACCAAAGTTTTTGTATCCTACTGGGAGGAGACAAAATCAACCAAAATTGAAATTTTTTTAGTGCTGCTTTAATACATTTGTCATTTGACCTTAAAATGTATCCCCAGGAAACCTTTTCTACTTAGATGTAGGTGTTTGGTTTGAAATTAGCTCAAATATTATGTTTTATTTTCCAAAACACAGTATCTATATAAACATTATAATTTACCTAGGAATATTAAAGATTTTTGCATTTGTCCAATAAAACATAAGCACATATAAAACTGGAATATACCTGTTTTCTGAAGTGACATCTTGGAAACCTTTAGTAACTCACTCAGCAATATCGGGCAATATATGGTATAATAGTAATGAATTGATTTTGTCCATTCTGTCTTAAGGTCCCATTTGTGTTTTATTGAGGCAGCTCGGTTATTTTGAGGAATCCATGCCAAGCTATTCATGTCCAGTGTCAGAAAGTCTTCTCCATCAAATCCAACCCGCGTGAAACTAGAAGACTGATTTTTATAGTAATCTATCTCACAGCCACTGAAAGACTGTAGGATGTGAACACCTGAAAGCAAAGGGAAGATAGACAAACAATATATTACTCATGTCAACATTTGATCAAATTAAATAATACATTTACGAAATAACTTACATTGGTAGAGGTTTAATTGTCTCTCCTTTATTAAATCAAACAATAGAGGATAGAATAAATAATAACAAAAATCCCTAGAGTATCCAGTCATTCAGTGCAAATCAGCGTTCACCATCAGGCATCTAACATGTGAATAAACTGATTTAAGTAATTAAATGACCAATATATTAACTCATAGAATCCATAGAGTTCCTTACTAAGCAGCTCAGGAACATGTGGGAAAAAAGAGATACAGCGTGTGCACAAAATGCTGATTCCTTTACACAAAGTACTTATCTGTGGTAGTGATGGGTCTAGCAATACCAATGTGTATGGGCATACATCAAGCTCATAGAGAAAAAACCTGTGTCTGTGCGCTTATCGTTTCAAGAAAGTCTGACGCAGGAGCTGTTTCGAACTCACTTACACATTAGACCTTGTTTCTAAGAGTATCTATCAACAGGATGGATCTGCTAAATAATCTCTTTTGTGGTTCATGATCAAATTAATCAAGAAAAATTTAGCAGCTTCAAGGCATAGGAAAGGTTTCAGTTGTGGCCTTAACACAGCAAGAGTTATCAATCCGTTGCTGCGAAAGCTCCTCTTTATCTGCAAATGAGCATAAGAACGATCCGGATACAAGGAAAGACATCAGGTTTCATATCCACCATTTGTCAACGTTGTGGAGTTCATCGGTCAATACAGAAGTATTCAGATCAGGCAATGTTTCACTTTCAACACTCAAGGATATTAATCTGAAGGCTGAGAGGACAGGTTGGAGGTCAAACAAACATAGTGAGGCTTCAATGGTGAAGACTGAAGTTATCTCTTGAACAATCTAAAAAAATAATAAACTTTTCTCAAATCCAATGATTGCAATATAGTGTGTTTTCTGCACAAAAAATCACACCCTCTGCGCAAATGTTGAGGATTTAGTGAGAAGTCCATAGAAGGTTGGGAAGAACTTCTTGAAGGAGAATCATGTTTTAGATAAGTGTTTATCTCAGTGCTCAGAATACAATAGTGAAAGGCATCCCACAGTGTTTCACACTGGGCTAGCACCTTGGGCAGCAGACGTAGACCCTCAATCGGAGCACTGTGGGGAGGATGAACTCTCTCGGATGTGAACTGGACCTGATTTCAATAATAAACTCTTCTCAGTTCTGATCTGCTTCAGAAAAGAATCAATTGCCTTCACAGCAGAAATTGAGCAGATGTGTTACAGTTCTCTAATTAAAAAGGAGGACGGGAACTACTTACATTTTGTTTGGTTTGTGGACAATGACCTCTCCAAAGACATTATAGAATATTGTATGAGAGTCCACATCTTATGCAACAGCCCCTCTCAAGAAGGTGAGTTCCATGTTGAGCATAACAGTTAGCATTATGCGTGGCATGGCTTCTATTTAGATTATGGGCTTAAGTTTCTACCAACAACTGAGGCTGTCATCAGCTTGCTTGGAAGGACATAGGATGTACTTTCCAAGTCCAAAACTGAGGCTACACAGATTGTACAAATCACTGCACAAATCACTGCAAGTAGAAAGAGGGTAATGTAGGCTTTCCCTCTATCTGATCTGGCAAGTGATTTGAAAGAGGTAGAGTTCAGTGACAATCAGCTTCCTATCGAATACAGTCTTGGGCTAAGTTGGAACCTCCAGACAGGCTGTTTTCACTTCAGTGTCTCAGAAGGGATAAAGCCTTTCACCAGAGTTGGTTTCAATTCCATTCAATTCAGTTTATTTATATAGAGCAAATTCTTAACACATGTCATGTCAAGGGCACTTAACAGTCCACCAGATCATCCATTCAAATTGATTCAAAGTTTTCTATCTAAGAAAAACCAGTTGATTACATTGACTCATTGACTCAAAGGCAATCCCTCAGAACACCAGGAGAAACCCTGGTGCCTTTTGATATTACCTGTCTTCTCGTAACACATCTTTAACAAGACACTGACCTAAACAACAGGACTAATTTCACTCTGGACCAGATCTGCACCCTACTGCACCTTTGTCTTTCCACAATCTATTTCAAGTTCAGGGATAATTCTGTGTCAACTAACCCTGGTGATTTATTCATCCTGACACTTGCTGCCTTATTTACTCGGAAGGTAAACGCTGTTCAAGAACAGGTGAGCAGAATTTATGACATTTATGATATTGATTAGTTAATAATTAATGTTATGTTTAAAGATATTGTGAAGGATCTGTCAGAGGGAGATGCTGAGGGGCAGTCAGATAAACAAACATATTTCCTTTTCTTGTGTGGTGTGAAAAAACTAACTTTTTTAAAACATTTACACATAAAGGTATCTCTGTTAAAATTATACAGTTCGTAAAACGCAACTTTATATTTTTTGTGCTATGTTTGTTTACATCCTTTGAATTGCCTGGGGGGTAAGCCCCCTGTCCTTAAAACTTAATAGAGTCTCTGTTGATCACTCTGTCCTGTTCTGACTAAGACAATGTTATGCCAACTACTTTTGTGTAATTCAATAAATAAAAAGAGCACATAGTTAATAATGTGGATGAATGGATGAAAAATATATACATTTTTCCCCAACTGTTTAACATGTAATTATATATTCTAATACGTACTCAGATTAGTTTTTGTCCAGTGTCATACATAAAAACAACTGCTGTCTTTGTATGCGTTTCTATAGCAAATTTACTTAATTCAGCTGATAATGCAAATTGTTCAGAAGAAAAGAAGCAATGGAAGGAAAGAAAAATAGGTCACACTTTACCTTCATGTAGGTTGAGGTCAAGCATAAAATCACTGAGGGCAATTTTGGTGTCTTTTGCACCTTGTCCAAAACACATCTCTTGGAAGCTCTTGAAGTTATCTTGATTTTGAAGCCATTCTTTAAACCAGTCGCTTTTTCCTTCAACAATCGTTTTACTGATGTTGCAGTAACAAAACTCAGTATCATCGATCACTCCTAAGAACACAAACTCTGGAAAGTTTGATACTCCAGTGGAAACGGTATAGAAATTCTTTAGAGAGTGTCTTGCTGTTGGAAAAAATAACAGAACATTTTTTTTTATCAATATGCCTCTGCACACTTAATAAGACGAACCTGCATAATCTGAGCTGGGATCTTCTCATATATGATTACTGTTTTCTTTCTAGGTAACTGCAGTTTTTATTTATCAAGAAAAATAATTTAAGAATCTGATTAAATCTAAGTTTCTAAGGCATCACAAACAACTTAAAGAAACACAGACAGCAAAAAGCAGCATTTTGTTGGGATCTGGAGATCTGCCACCTTTCTCCAGCAGAGGGCGGCCTGGGTCTCCTGAGCTGAAGCCACCTGCACACCTGAGGCTGATCATCCTATCAGGAGACCAACTATATAAGCAGCGGCTTGACTTCTCTTCATGGCCAGAGTGTTGAATAAGTCACGGTAGTCAACCGGAGCCAACCAATCTGCCTGACTCTCTGACTCTCCTGAAACCTTGAACCTGATCTTGATCAGTTTTGTCCTCTCTGTTCTTCTAGGAAGATCCCGACTGAAACCTGGAGCTCTGGTGGAGCTAATGTTTGGAAACCAGCCTGCCAGCTCTGATAAGCCAAACCTGAAGATCTACCGTCTGCATCTGTTTGCCAGTTCTCAGGAGAGAACTTGGAGAGGTTCAAGGTCTGAACCTCACAAGTCTGAAGCCAAGCCCTGCCGGTGCTAAGCTCTCTGCTGAATCCTCAGTCTCTGGATCCAACCGGTACCCTCCCTCAGACGTTCAGCCTGAACCACTAATCAGTGAACCCCGTGTGACCAGCCCCTGATCTGATTCCTGCATCTGATCCCAGCTTTGTGGTTTTCTCAATAAACAGTTAACTTTTTCCTCTGTCTCCTGGTGTTCTGCATTTGGGCTAGAAATAGTACCCATCATGACACATTAATCAAAACTTTAAAATTTTGTTAAAGGGTTAATAATATTTTTACATTCATATCCAGGAAGCTTTCTCAATTAAAATGTCTGGATCCGCAGTGAGTAAAGACTCAAACTCACTGCGGATCCAGACATTTGAATTGAGAAAGCTTCCTGGAGAGGTGGCGAAACGTCTTCAAATCTTGGAAATCAAGTCCAGTGGATTTTTTTTTTACTTTTACGGAATGACTTTGACCTGGATGACTGAGAATCTTCATCACCATACAGGAGATGATTCACCACCCTGGGGATTTTTCTTTCAAGCGGCTGTTAAATCCTTTGTTTTTGCCCATCATTGGACACACCGTCTGTACAATGTGGAACCAGGTTTTCATAATTCTGGTTGTGGGTTATAAAAACAAGTGTCCACAGCAGTAAATAAACCATGATCTATTGAAGTTGTTAACAGATTTGAGGACGTAAGAATGTCTCGTTTAAAGTCATCAATATTAGCATACTGAACGTAAATAAGCATGAACTTGTCTGCCAAATCATTGTTGATTGGCAATGGTAGAATGTTTTATACTGGGGTGGCAAAGGGTTGATACAAGATTATTTGTGGCATTAAACTGAATGTTCCATGTTCTATCAATAATATTTTTACATTCATATATATTTGTGTAGTTTAATGTAACCATAGTATTTTATAGAGTGTTATTTTGATCTATTTTGATCCTGTGTTATTTGTGTAACAGATCTGGAGAACTTTTCAGTAACGTTTAAATAGTATAATTATATCATTGGGGTTTACATAAAAGGATTTTGGAGCTAACACAGTGACATAAACACAGTGACTTAGGTTCATGCTGGCTGACCAATCTACATTGTTATAGTGTTATTGTGATGTCTAATTAATAGAGGATATATTCACTTGAAAACGGATGATGTCCGTGTGTTACAGACTTTGTTTATGTGCACTGAGGTGTATATGAAAATAAAGTAGTAAATCTCAATCTATTTACTTATTTTTAAGTATGTATTTTAAATAGGCCTATAGTCTCATAGATCTTTAGTCACAAAAAAAAAAAAAAAAAGGATTTTCAGTGCACCCCGTGTTCAAAATGATTTCCAGTGACCCTGCCTGCCTTGGATGCTGATGTTACTCACTCCGGTTCTGTTTTCCTATAAACGTTTTGAGAAATCTGTCTGTCTGCCTTGAATACTGGGTCCTATTGCTCTGAGCACGGCAGTGGCTAGTCTCTCTGAATGTCTGTTATCAGAAGATTCTGATTAGTATGTTTTTATTCCAGTTACTTTTGTTTATATAAATACCACATTTCCAAATTATGTTGTTAACTGGAAAACATTTGAATCCATTCTGTAAATTTTGTGCATGTAATCATAGCTAATATTAGTCGATACACTCAAGGCTGACTAAGTTCTTTGGTGCCCAAGGCAAGAGCGGCTCTCTGACAGCCTCTCCAGCTGTGCTTGCACTCGTCCCAAAACACTTTTGGGACACAATTCCACTGTTATTGAATAGTTGCTTATTTTTTTAGTTTTAAATGTTCACACAAAAAGGTTTTAAAGGCAATTACCAGAAGAATAAATATAAGTTTGAGGGATAGAATTACAATACAATATATATTTTTAAAAGGGTTATCTGAAGTCTGAGGCCTGAACCTCAAGGGCTTAAAATTTTTTGCTTTTTGCACCCAGTCTAGATAGGCATCCCATGCGGCTCATGTAGTGCTGCATACCCACTTATTGAACCAATGTTAACAGAACAATATCTGACAGACCAAAATATAAAAAAATTACTAGATATTTGGTAATAATTATAAGGAATCTAACTAACAGTTACTTTAATGGAGCAGTTCTGATAAATACTGAACACACCCAATGGAGATGAAGAAAAAGCATAAAATTTCAATCTCAAGGGCTAATTGATGACAATTAATGTGAAATTATTGCCAAAATTATTAGAAAAATTAATAAGGATCATCTAACATTTCACTTTCTGCAGTACCCTAGGCTTATAGTAAAAGTATTATGATTTATCAAACCAGCATAGCAATATAACCCATATATATATATAATAGATTTTACCTGTATGAGCCACACAGACGACCATGAGCAGTAATATGAGATTCCTCATTGTGTTTCGTAGGATTAGAACTGAGTGTAACCTGTACAAGTCTGTTGAAAATGCAAGTATTTCCTGTTCTTATCATTCAAGCGTGTTAAAGGTGTGGCTTTAGATGGAATTTCAGAAAACCCAAATAGTTTCCTTCCTTAAAGTTCCATCACAGCATGTTGTCTAGTTTATGAGATCAAGTTACAACTATAATAGTTTCCTTTTGAGCAAACGGATCAATCAGTTATTTTATGTAATTGTAAATATAGTTAATAATTATATTTTTCAAATTTCAAATAATAATGTGATACTCTAGTCAAAGGCAAATGCCTGAATTGGTAATAATTATACATAAACACTTTACAAACTACCATTATAAACAATAGAGTAGCAGAAAACAATCAGTAAACTGAATGACTTTGAGGTCATCATAGTGGGGGATTTTAACAGCCATGCTGATATTGAAGGTGATAGCTTAAATACAGCCTTTAATGCTATCAGACGCTTTTGGCTTTGTTCAAAATGTGAATAATAATTCTCAACTTCATACTTTGGACCTAGTGCTTGCATATGGCATTGCATGTGAAGAAATAACAGTATTTCCTCACAACACTCTCCTCTTGGACCACTTTTTAATAACCCTCAACATTACTAATACAGAGTTCTCCTCCCCCAAAGGGTTTCACTCTGGCAGATCAAATAACAGATAATGCAGTCATACATTTTAAATAATCTGTCTTCCTTTCTCTGTCCTCTGTGTTGCTGCGCAGTGCTGCAGAGGGCAAAAGTTTAGTTTATTCCCTTTCATAGGTTGATGATTTTGTTGATGGGGTTGCTAGTTCTCTCTCTGCTGCCTTGGACAATGCATCCACTTCGAAAAATAAAAACTTTAGAATAGAAAGCTGGCTCCCTGATTTACTGCAGAGCTGCATACTCTGAAGCAAAATTCTAGGAAACTTGAGCGAAAATGGCGCTCTACATGCCTACACGAATCCTCCATAGTCTGCAAAAATAGTTTACTACTGTATAGGATGACCTTTCGTAAAGCAAGAGCATCGTATTTCTCCTCATCTCCTCATAGATAATAGATTAGAATAAGAATAATCGTATATTTCCTTTTAATAAAGTTGCCAAACTCACACAGAGCCATAGCTCTGTAGAACTGTTTATTCCCTCTGCTCTTTGCAGTAATGATTTTATGGGAATTCTTTATTAATAAGATTGATTCTGTTAAAAAAAAGATCATTGGCACTCCTCTAACTATCATTGGTTTATCTCTGGAAGGTGAGGCAGCATCTGAGGTAGCTAGCTAGCTGCATTTAGACTGCTTTGATCCAGATAAACTTTCAGAGTTAGAAAAAGTATTGCCTTTATCTAAAGCTTTAACTTGTATGTTAGATAAAGTTCCAACTAGGTTATTTAAGGCAGTATATCCTCTGATCTCCTCCTCCATTTTAGATGTGATTAATTTATATCTGTTACATGGATATGTATCTCAGGCTTTTAAGGTTGCTGTATTTAAACCTTTGCTTAAGAAACCGTCTCTTGACCCAGATGACTTGGTCAATTATAGACCAATACCCAATCTTCCTTTCTTATCTAAAATTCTTGAGATAGTAGTTGCCAAACAAGTGTGCGATCAATTACACCATAATGAATTTTTTGAAGAGTTTCAGTCTGGCTTTAGAGCTAGTCATAGCACTAAAAACAGCTCTGGTAAAAGTCACTAATGATATTCTCATGGTCTCAGATAATAGACTTGTATCTGTGCTTGTCCTGTCGGATCTCAGTGCTGCATTTGATACAGTTGACCAAAATATTCCTTTAGAAAGACTTGAATATTTTGTTGGAATTAAAGGAACAGCACTAGACTGGTTTAAATTTTATCTATCTGACCGATTTCAGTTTGTTCACGTTAATGATAAATCTTCCTCATGCTCCAGGGTTACCTATGGAGTACAGGGATCAGTGCTATGACCAATTCTCTTTACTATATATATGCTCCGATCCATCCAACCATTTTCTAGCCCTAAATGGCTAAACTCATCTTTCATCAGAGATATTCTTGTTCCTTATGTTCCTAACAGAGCAAGTCACTCTCAATCTGTTTACTAGTATATCCTAGAATTTCTAAAAGTAGAATGGGAGGCAGATCTTTTAGTTATTAGGCTCCTCTCCTGTGGAACCAACTACCAGTTTTAGTCCGTGAGGCAGACACCCTGTCTACTTTAAGGCTAGGCTTAAAACTTTCCTTTTTGATGAAGCTTATAGTTAGAGTGGCTCAGGTTATCCTGAGCTATTTCTATAGATATGCTACTATACGCTTAGACTATTCTATCTATGCCAAAGTTTTTCTTATCATTTTTGCTTTATCTATATGTTTGGCTGTGACACCATCCTGCAGAGAAATGCCACCTTCAACAACTTTGTTTATAGATGTTGTTTGTGTATCGTGAATTGGGGATATATAAAAATCTGGAATGATTTGATGTGATATTCCTTTCCTTAGTAGAGAATAACGTTGAAATACATCTCTGCATACACATCATTTTCATAATTCTGTGCTGACAACAGAGATGACGAGTTGGATGCTGTCTATTGGCTTGTCTAAAACTTCTACCTGATATAAATATGTTTATCTGAACACGGACTTCAACAAATAACATTTTGATTAAAAAGGTTCTCTGTTTGTGCTGTTGATATCTGATTTTCAAACAGTGATTACAAAAAAGATAACTGTATAAATTAGTTTTTAGTGTTTTTTTTCAAGTGACTTAAACAGCAAACCTTGACACATGCAGGATAACAAAAAATGTATTATCAGCCTTTTTTAGCTTAGTTATTTAGTTATAGCTTGTTGACACTAAAGTTCAATCAATAACCATTTGTAGGTTCCTATCACTGCCACCCTCTGGACTGAAATGTGATGCAGTTTCTCTTTGGCTGATTGTAATGGGGCTTCCAGAGTAATGGGGAAGAATGCTGATGAATGACCCAGGATTTCTATGACGTTGATGCTACAAATCCTGGGGGCTTTAGAAGAAAGGGGGTGCAGGTTAGGTAGATGATATGTGCCCCTGATGACTTTCTTACCTGGAAAATAATCTGTGAATATCCTGGGTGATGCAAGAACAATGCATAAGTTTATTGACAAAACTATTTTAAACAACCCATTATAACATAAAAATCCCTTTTATTCAAAATTACTTTTATTGTGGATCTTATATTTATTTTTTATTTGAAACACTAAGTAAAAATAATTCTACTTTTATCAGCTATCATTTTTGATTATTCAAATGAGATCAAATTAGTTTTACATTTTAGAGATTTCTCTCAAAATCCTTTTTTTCCCCTGTTTTCTCACCTCTTATTTCTTTAATTGTTATGTTTTACAAACAGATACAGTGAGGAAAAAAAGTATTTCGAACACCCTGCTATTTTACAAGTTCTCCCACTTAGAATTCATGGAGGGGTCTGAAATTGTCATCAAAGGTGCATGTCCACTGTGAGAGTATGATCTAAAAATAAAAAAAAGAAATCACGATGTATGATTTTTTTAAACTATTTATTGGTATGGTACAGCTGCACATAAGTATTTGCACACCTAAAAAAAATCAAGGTTAATATTTGGTACGGTAGCCTTTGTTTGTAATTACAAAGGTAAAATATTTACTGCAGTTTTTTACCAGGTTTGCACACATTGCAGGAGGGAATTTGGCCCACTCCTCCACACAGATTTTCTCTAGATCAGTCAGGTTTCTGGGCAGTCGCTTAGACTAACGGAGTTTGAGTTCCATCCAAAGATTCTGGAGACTGGCTAGGCCACACCAGAACCTAAATATGCTTGTTACAGAGCCCCTCCTTGTTAATCCTATTTGTGTGCTTTGGGTCATTGTCATGTTGAAAGACCCAGCCTTAAACCATCTTCAATGCTCTAACTGAGGGAAGGAGGTTGTTCCGTAAAATTCCGCAATACATGGCCGCAGTCATCCTCTCCTTAATACAGTGCAGTCAACCTGTGCCATGTGCAGAAAAAACACCCCCAAAGCATGATGCTACCACCCACATGCTTCACAGTAGGGATGGTATTCTTGGGATGGTACTCATCATTCTTCTCTGTCCAAACAAGGTTAGTGGAATTATGACAATAAAGTTCTATTTTGGTCTCATCTGACCACATTACTTTATCTCATGACTACTCTGGATCATCCAAATGTTCATTGGCAAACTTAAGACAGGCCTTCACATATGCTGGTTTAAGCAGGAGAAACTTCTGTGCCACGCCTGATTTCAGACCATGACATCTTAGCGTATTACCAACAGTAACCATGGAAACGGGGATCACAGCGCTTTTCAGGTCCTTGACCAGCTCCTCCTGTGTAGTTCTGGGCAGATTTCTCACATTTTTAAGGATCATTGAGACCCCACAAAGTGAGATCTAGCTTAGAGCCCAAGTCTGAGGGAGATTGACAGTGATGTGTAGCTTCTTCCACTTTCTAATGATTGCTCCAAGAATGGTTGTTATTTCCTCGTAGCCCTTTCAAGCCTTGTAGAGGTGTACAATTTTGTCTCTAGTGTATTTGGTAAGAAGTTGGATTCTTACTGATTGTTCGGGGTAGGACAGGTGTCTTTATGCAGCTAACTACCTCAACAGGTGAATCTAATTTTGGATAATAAAGGTAGGGGAGGTGGACATTATGAAGGCAGAATCACAAGTCTTTGGGGGTCAGAATCCTAGCTGATAGAAGGGTGTTCAAATACTTATTTGCAGCTTTATCATACAAATAAATACATAAAAAAAAATCATATGTTGTGATTTCTGGATTAGGTGGACATGCACTTAAAATGACAATTTTCAGACCCATCCATGATTTCTAAGTGGGAGAATTTGAAAAATAGCAGGGTGTTCAAGTACTTATTTTCTTCACTGTGCATCTGTTAGATTCTCTCCCTTATTTTTTTCCCCCCTACTAAGCTCTTTAGATCACTACATTTCTCTCTTCAGCTCCCAGTCTTTACACTCATCAGCATGTTTTGTTTTTTTAACTACAGATCAG